TGTCCAATGTCTGACACAAGGTGCTAATTCTATTGCCAAGGTTGGAAGCTCAACCTGTGAGTTTCACTTAGTTCCATAACTAGTTTCTACCACTAATCCTAGCCAGGTGCCTCAGAAGACATGCCAAGAGTCACAAAGGGAGTGGGTAAGAATGTGTGATTGGACACAAATCTATCACCACTACTGGAAAACAACCCAAAAATACATTTCCTACCAACATATCAGCTCTAGAACAGAACTTGAGGCTGAAACTAGAGATGAAATCTTACAAAAAAATGTGTTTCAGAAATCTTAAAAACTCTTCTCCCTTTTCAGACTATAAGTACCATCAAAATTCATGGAAACAACCAGGATTTGCTGTTTTCAGATGATGATAATTTTAAAGGAAGACATGTAACTTAAAAATGTAATTAGTTGAAGACTACTTTTCTGAGTATATTCAATGTACCACACTTTGATTTTTTTTATCTAAGTTAAATGTAAGTATATATATATATAAATACGTAAATATAAATGCTAATGAATTTATAGACTAGAAATCAACTGATAAACCAAAATAATCTGAGACAAACAACTGGTGCCCAGAATAACTAGAGTATATGAGGGTATATAAAAGATGAAACAGATATTAAATAAAATGACTGACAAGATAAGTTAGACAGAAAGAGACCAAAATAATCAAGAGTAGCAGATGGAAAAGCAGGTAGGTTAAAGGAACACAATGTTGTGAAAATATATGACTGGGCACAGAAAAGATAATGTAGCCAATAAAATCAGCTCAGTGTGTCAAGAGGCGTCATGCAAGAATAACTTTAGCTTGAACTTGAAGTTGTGTCTTTACGGGCCAAATTCAACATAAGAAAACCCTTTTTAATCCTTTGAATGGAGACAGCAAACAAGAGAGCAGTGAACATTCAACATTTCTTTATTCAAACATTTACTAGACACCTATTTGGCACTAGATATAATAGCATGTGATTATGCATAATAAAAAATAATCAAAGAAACCCACTCAGGCAGTGCATTTTATAACAGTGTACAAACTGAAAAAATGGAAAGCCAGACTAAGAAGGCAGAAATAATATCAATATAGTGACAAATCCTGCTGTATAACTTATACAATTCTAAGGCTCAGGCCTACCCTAGCTATCATATCTAGCCTACAGTACTGTTTTATCTATATCCTGTATAAATCATACTTATGTCAAGAATCAGAGCAAGGGCAACAAGAATTAAATTATGGAATGCAGCCAGATTATCAGGGTGCTGAAGTGAACTTTTTCACAACTCTCTCTCTGGGGCTGGACACATCGAAGAATGGACAACACAGGATATACAAGAGCTGCTGAACAGCTCATTGAAGTAGACTAACACCAAGCAAGATTCACCGAAGAAAGTTACTTTTTTTAAGGATGGAGGATGACATAACTATAGCTGACTAGGAAACTGCTATCTGGATATCATATAAAAAAATTAAATCATTCTTTTGTGGCCAAAAGCATCAAGCCTATGATGACCTAAAAGGCAAAGCCAGAAGCAGTAGCAGCTCTGAGACGACCACATATATAGGTACATAGACAGACAAGACTCAACATACATCTGAAAACTGTATTTATTTGAGAGAGAGAGTGTGCACGCCCGGGGGAGGAGCAGAGGGAGAGGGAGAGAACCTCAAGCAGACTCTGCAATAAGCACAGAGCCCGACTCCAGGCTCAATCCCACGACCCCGAGATCATGACCTGAGCCGAAACCAAGAGTCGGACACTCAACTGACTGAGCCACCGAGGCTCCCCAAGACTCAACATACATTTGGAGTGAACTACAGATCCCACAAGAGCCTGTCAACCAACTTCAATGGAGTGTGTCATTTTCAAAAAAACAGTGGGCGGGCGCCTGGGTGGCTCAGTTGGTTGGGCAACTGCCTTCGGCTCGGGTCATGATCCTGGAGTCCCGGGATCGAGTTCCGCGTCAGGCTCCCTGCTCGGCGGGGAGTCTGCCTCTCTCTCTGACCCGCCCCCCTCTCATGCTGTCTATCTCATTCTCTCTCAAATAAATAAATAAAATCTTAAAAAAAAAAAAAAAAAACAGTGGGCAACCAGCAGGATTAGTGTAAAATTTTTCAGATTTATATTCTTCCTATTTCCCAGAAAAACATAAAAAACTTACAAATTAACACATTTAAATATAATATTTAAACTGAATTCATCTAATAGAAGTACCTGAAGAAATTAGATAGGCGTACATTACCAACTTCAGTTACAAATCTGACTGAAGTCTTTTTGCTAAATTGAAGAGAAACATGCAGTTACATAGTTTGCATTTTCAAACAAATAGGAAGCACATTTTTTGAATAAACAATTTTTCCTGGAGCTAAACTCAGCAGAAATTTACGTCAATCTAGTCTGTAAAAGACATATGGAACACACTGAACATATTAACTATTATTGTATAGGAGGTATCAAAACAAATTCACATGGCAATTTCCTAATTGAAATTTGAAAATTTGAAATTGAAAATTTCCTAATTGTAAAAAACAGAAGGCATAAAAATAAACAATTTAAGGGCAACATTTCCGCAAAAGGCTGAGACAATACAGTCCAAACATAGATATTCTGCTTTATCATAGACTATCAAAGTAAAAACTTAAACAACTGGATAGCCACTTAGCATAGCTATTATAATCATGGTTGTCTACCCTGCCTCTGTATCAGAATCATCTACAATTGATTGTTTGCCTAGATTAAGTTTAAATTTAAGCTAACAAGCGTCTATAATGCAGCTATTCTATACTGTTGATCAACCAGGTGTAATGATTCATAAAATAAAAGACATGAAAAAATTTAGCAGGGTGAATTCTACATAGCAGACATTCAATAAATGTAATTTTTTCTACCTTCCAGAGGAAAGGAATGAAAGCTGTCATTTTCCTATGGAAAGTAGATCATACTTATATTTTTGTCCAGAGAGGACGAGGCTAACATATTCTAGTCCAAACTCTTTCAAGGAGTTAGTTTTCTCAAGTTCATATGTCAGTAACATAATTTTTTAATTAAGAATTAGATGCATATATAAACTTTAAAGTTACTGGGTTTTCTTTGGGGGGAATTAAATGTACTTAAATGGCACAATTAGATACATTAATTTGTAATAAATTTATTTATTTAGTATAATTTCAAAATCCGTAAAGGGATTTTGATATCTTAGTAGTTGATAAGAATGCATCTTAATCATTATTGTCATTGAGATAAAGAATGATAGAACTTTAGACTGCCAAGGGACCTTACAGGTTTTCTAGATCAACTTCTTTATTTTGAAAGATGAGAAAACTGCAGACTAGAAAGGTTAAATGATACAAGCCAAAAAGCTAGCAGAGCCAGGGACTTTTAAGACCCTGAGCCTCCTAACTTCCAGTACATTCTTCATTCTAACAGACTATGCTGCCTCCTGTGGTTCTAAATCCTCTTGCTTGGGTGAGATTACTGGTTGCTTCACTTGTTTTCTTTACATTCTATTCTGAACCATAGCTGCCATTTGTAACTTTCCTATAAAATTACAATTTTCCAACCTGTTTTCTTCATAATTTTATGACTGAGAATGTAAATCCTCCACTTCCTAAATTTCAGAGTAATAAACATAAAATTTTTTAAATACCTGAAATAAATGTACAGTATATATGATTGAATGCAAAGAAAAATTCTTCTCTCCTGGATAATTACATCTACAGATTCAAAAAAAAAATTTTATTGAGCACCTCTGACATGCAGGGTCTCTGTTAAATGCTAGAGACAAGAAGATAAGTAAGATATGGTCCTTGTCCTCCAGTAGCTTATAGCCTAGGAGAAAAGTCAATTAAACCAACAATTACACTGTTTGTTAAGAACTCTGAAAAAGGTGTGGGCAGGTTGCTATGAGTGCTTTAGAGAATCTAATTTATAATGATGGAATCAGCTAATAGTTTCCCATAAGGTCTGAACAGTAATAGGAAAACATAGCTGTGTCACCCATATTTAGTGGAGTCCCAAATGAATTGAAAGAAACTTCAATTTATTCAGAGGAAAATGAAATTTGTGTTTTCACCCGGATTAGTATCCAATAACTCTCTAATAATAATTAGACTGTTTTTTGATGGGAAAGAACCTGATTTCATTGTGGCTACATAACAAACACAGGTCTTCTATTATTTCTTCCTAAAATTTTAAATCACTATTTTAAAACCAAAGGGAAAATATTCATCTAAAACATGTCTAGTTAATATTCACAACAGCTGTCTACAAAATTGCATACTAAAGTACTCCTCAAAATTCCAGGAAAAAAAAAAATCGCATCTGGAACAAGAGAAATAACCAGGAGAACCGGTAGCCCAAGAAGGAAGAAAACTACAACTCATTACTCACTCCGGGTTAAGGACTGCTCAGATTCCTAGATAATGACTTTCAGCTGCAAGATTTAGAAAAGACGTACAGTGGGCATTTTTATTTACATTTTTAAAACGAAATGGGGGGAAGGGGTCAGAGTATAGGGAAAATCATTAAAGAGATATGGAAGTAAAGTGATGGAAAAAAGAGGAAAGGGTGGGCAAGAATCCCAAAATCAAAGAAACATGGACAGATGGAAGAAAGACTGGAGAATGGTTTGGAAAAGAGTAAAGAAAGGCTGAGAGGAAATGAGGGGTGGTGGCTTGGGGGAAGGGCTGTCCAAAAAAATAATTCGAGAGGGAATGAGAAACAAGAGAAACTAATGAACTGGGGCTCCCTCAACCAGGGATAAAATGAGATCGTTATACGTAGAGTCACCGATAAAGCAGCAGTGAGTTTTAACCTCCCTTTTCCCCAGCCTCTAAACCCCAAAGAGGGAGGAAGAAGTGGTTCCCAAGCCCCTGGAAAGGAATTTGGGCGCAGCCTTCGGGAAGCAAGTCCAGGAGCTGGGGCACCATCCAGCGGGTCCCCGGCCCCTCTCCATCCCTCTCGGGCGCTGGGCGGGGCCCTGGGCATCCTGGTTACCTGGACAGGGAGTCCACGCTGGGCGGCCGTGCTGCGGCCGGTTGGGAGCCAAGACTCTCGCAGCTCGAGCTCTTCTCCATGGCGCGGCGGGGACAGCGGGAGGGAAAGGCTGAAGCGGCCTCCGCGGCTGCGGGGCGGGAGGAGCGGAGGGCGGAGTGCGCCGGGCAGGGGCCGCGGTCAGGCCAGCGCCGGCCCGGGAGGGAGACCGGAAGCGGCCATGTTCCCCCAGACTGCACCGCGCCCGGGGACTACCGAGGAGCGGGAGGACCCCGCGGCTCCCCTCCGACTGCAGCCCCGACGCGCTGCGCTCGCTACGTGCGCTCGCTGCGTACCCCGCGCTTCCTCTGGGCTGGGGAAGGGAGGTGGCCCTTCCAGGAGTGAGAGGGTACCCTGAGGCTGGGGGAGACGAGGATCCCTTGGGAGGAGGGGGGAATTTTAGAAATAAGAGAGAGGAATAAGGGAATACTAGGGCGAGGATCATAGGGATGGGGATGAGTGAGACAGGAGTGGTGGAGAAGACGGAGTAGTAAAGGCGTGCGGACAAACAGTAGGATAAAGGGGCAGAAAGGACGGGGGCGGTGCACGAAGAGAGGAAGAGAACATAGGGGCACACAAAGGTTGAGGGTGTTAGAGATGGCAAAGTGTTCACCAGATTTGGGGCTGAAAATAATAATTAAATAATTAATAATTAAATAGTGATTAAAGGTTGCTTTAGCCAGTCAGACACGAATTCACATCCTGCCTCTGCTGGTCGCTTGCAGTGTAACCCAAGGTATTGAACATCAGCTTCCTTATCTGTAAAATAGGAAAAATAATAACTTCACAGATTAGATAAATTAATACATGTAAAATGCTTAAAAACTTTTTGGCGCATAGTAAGCACTCAAATGTCAGCTGTTAGTATTACGACCTACTTCATAAGTGTTGTTAGGATGTGATGTATTAATGCATATAAACGGTTTCTAAAACAACTTCAAAAAATGGTAGCTATAGGGCAGGAATATATAGGAAGGGGGCAGAGAAGTAAGAAGTGATTGGTATGGGAAAGATAGTAGAGAAAGTACAGGACATTTAGGAAAAAAATTAATGCTTTTCTCTTTAAGATTTTTTAAATTTTTTATTGTTATGTTAATCACCATACATTACATCATTAGTTTTTGATATAGTGTTCCATGATTCATTGTTTGCGTATTAACACCCAGTGCTCCATGCAGAACGTGCCCTCTTTAATACCCATCACCAGGCTAACCCATCCCCCCACCCCACTCCCCTCTAAAACCCTCAGTTTGTTTCTCCGAGTCCATGGTCTCATGGTTCATCTCCCCCTCCGATTTCCCCCCTTCATTCTTCCCCTGCTATCTTCTTTTTTTTTTTAACATACATTGTATTATTTGTTTCAGAGGTACAGATGTGTGATTCAACTCCTATCTTCATTCTACCACCGGCCCAGTGTTGTAGAAAGGGCACTAGTAAAGCAGAAATTTTCAGTCCAACTATGACTTGGATTAAGTCTGTGTGGTGTGGAAGGGTGCAGGGGCAAAGCACTTTGGCATTAGTCCATTGTACACCCAAGGAGGTATGGAAGAGGAAAATGGGATCTGATAAATATGCAAAAAGAATTAGACACATACACTATTATATGTGGTAATGTTGGATAGGCGACAAACTTAAGCAATCTTTCCCTGCCCTCTCAAATTCTCCTGCAGAGCAGGAAGGGAGGGTAGAGAGATAGAACTGTGATAAGAGAATAGGAATTGGGTGAAGGGGAAATGCTTCTGCTGGTCATTTCTGTTATGGAAGACACGGGAAGGACAAAAGAAGGAAAGCATAAAGGGATTTTTCTGATTGAGACTGAATCACAGTTACCTCATGTGTGAAGTATAAAATGATGCAAGGATTATTTCTGTAAAAAAAATAACAATGAATCATTTAAAAAACCTTCCTTGCTAGGATAAACAGAATTATGTTCATTTAAACTAGATTTAATTTATACTGACAACTGTTTTAAGAAAATCTTAAAGTATAGGGCCAGTGAAATACTAACTTGAAGTACATTCCCCAAAAGAACAACCTAACCTAGTTGTGTTCAGCATACTTATTAAAATAAAATGTTGGGGTTTTTTTAAAAGATTTTATTTATTTATTTGACAGAGACACAGCGAGAGAGGGAACACAAGCAGGGGGAGTGGGAGAGGGAGAAGCAGGCTTCCTGTGGAGCAGGGAGCCCTGTGCTGGGCTTGATTCCAGGACCCTGGGATCATGACCTGAGCCGAAGGCAGACGCTTAACGACTGAGCCACCCAGGCGTCCCTAAAATAAAATGTTTTTAAGCACTTTAAAAGCCTTTGCCTTTCTCTTCCATTCTCTAGCTTGGCAAGGATAGGATGGCAGCAGATAGTTTTTATTTATATAATTTTTAAAGAGGCCTTTAACTGTACTCCCCTAATAGGCAAAGAAAATAGGCAGAAACACTTAACAAGCATAAACATCTACGATGATTCATAAAAGAATTTGCTTATTGATTCCTAGTTTCTACCCGTCTTCCAAAATGCTGACTCACTGTCACTTGATACTTTGACATAGATTTTTCTAAGCTAAGTTTGGTGAAGACTGATGAGGAAGATCCAAGCACTCTCTACAGCCCAGTTGTTTTCTAGGACTGTGTTAATAGAGCACTTGAAACCACCTGCCTGATGATGTAACAATTTGTATATGAGTCTATCTGGTGATTAATAAAGAACAATAATGCAGGGCACCTGGCTGGTTCAGTTGGTAGAGCGTGTGACTCTTGGTTTCAGGATTGTGAGTTCGAGCCCCACTTTGGGGTGAGATTACTTAAAAATAAAAATCTAAAAAAGAAAAAAACAGTAATGTTAGTGTAGAGATTTTAGAACCAGACAAATCTGAATTGGGATCCTGACTCTGTTGCATGATTTCAATTAAGTTGTTTCTCCAACACTGCTTTCTCATCTCTAAAATGGGAATAAAAATATCCACATAAAAGGATTGTTTTTCCCTATACAGAGTTGGTTGCGCAGAAGGATCTCAGTCAATGGATCTGTTGCTATTATTATTTGTTCTTCCTCTGAACTTATGTTTTACTTCTAAATATTAAAGCAGTGATTTCTGAGAATGAATAACAAGCAAAGAATACTTTAATCTCAGCTGAAAGTTAAATTAGTGCTTAATTCTTTTTCTGACATGTTGGCTGCTGTGTCATATACCCAAGAGAAATCACCTTGATTAGGACTTTCTGCACCTCAGTTTTCTTGTCTTTTTTTTTTTTTTAAGATTTTATTTATTTATTTGATAGAGAGAGACACAGCGAGAGAGGGAACACAAGCAGGGGGAGTAGGAGAGGGAGAAGCAGGCTTCCCGCTGGGCAGGGAGCCCGATGTGGGGCTCGATCCCAGGGCCCTGGGATCATGACCTGAGCCGAAGGCGGATGCTTAACCCACTAAGCCACCCAGGCGCCCCAGTTTTCTTGTCTTTTAACAGAACACTTTAGCCTATTCAGGTTACTGTAGGAACTTCAGGAACTATTGCTAAACTTAAATTAGGAACTATTGCTAAAGGTCTTCAGGAACTATTGCTAAAATTAAATTACAGCATAGGCTCATCTTGCAGCCGGGGTACAGGTGTGCAAGAGCACCTGGCTCCAGGGATCCCAAACAGACCAGGTTCAGCCACTCCCAGCTGACAAAATCCAAAGGCAGAGAAACTAGTGGTGGTGAAACAAGAAAGGAATTTATTTCAGTGAGGTCAACACTGGGAAAACAGCAGACTATCCTCTCAACTATCTCAAAGTGCTGAAAATACTTCAAAGTTGGTGGGTATATGCAGGTGGGCAGTAAAGTAAATTGATCATTATCTTGGAGTCAGTCATGGACCATGGGCAGAGTCTTACTGGCTCTGGACAGTCCTTACTGCTTAAGTGGGTAGTTTCTGTTCCCAATCTGGGGATGCTTTGCCCACAGGGTCTTTTGCCTGAGTTAAGAAATAAGCTGGAAAGAGGAACTTAATCAATTAAAAGGTATAGACTGAGGTCAAAATGGAGGTAGTTGAAGTCCTCTTTCAATCTCTCCTATTAAATGGTTAACTTAAGACCTTCCCAAAAGTAATTTTTTTATTTGAAATCTGGGCCAGTGTTTCTCAAATGATCTGTGGGAAGAACAAGTGTTTTGTTTTTAATTTCCAAGCTGTCATCAACCAATGTTTTTTTAAAATAGAAGAATTAATTACTAAATAAATGAAACTTAAACAAAACCTGAAGGCATGCAATATGCAAGGCCAATTTTTTTTCTTATAAGTAATGGATCTAAAATGACTTCATGAAAGTTACATGAAGGTTCCTAAGCACATATTCTCAATTCTGCTCTCATCTCATCATGGACAGGCAATAAATAGCTCATGTACAGGCACTGATTGGCAGACCACAATTTGAATAGCACTGACTTGGATCTATAGGTCTGTTGCCTATCAGCTTATCAAAGGATGTTTATTAGACAATCTGAAGCAGAATAAGAAAATAAACTTCTCTTATGATAGTAAAATGGTGGTTAGGAATGGACAAGCAGAGGGAAAATTCTCTTAAACACACATGCCAGAAACATAATCCTTAGATCAAGCATGCATAATTCTTTTTTCTTTTTTTTTTTAGAGAGAGAGAGGGGGGGGGGGAGACTGAACAGAGAGAAAGGGGAAATCTTAATCAGGCTCCACACCCAGCACAGAGCCAGACCCTGAGATCATGACCTGAGACACCAAAATCAAGAGTTGGATGCTTAACCAACTGAACCACCCAGGCGCACCCCCACCCCCAACACAGGGCTTGAACCATTGACCCTGAGATGGAGATCTGAGCCAAGACCCAAGAGTCGGATACTTAACCAACTGAGCCACCCAGGCACCCCAAGCATGCATAATTCTTATAATTTATTATTTATATGCAAAAATTTAATTTTTTTATTACTTTGATTTAGAGAGTTCCTCTTCTAGTATGGAGAAGTAGACTTATAACAGGTTGACCTTTCCACAGGTAACAACTGGAAACTCCAGACAGTAAAACAACAACCTGAGGAGTCAAGAGAGTGGACAGAAGCACACAGAATCAAAATGTGTAGGAAGTAACCAAAACAGAATGCATTTCCCATTTCGAGCGGCTTTGACCTATGGACAGACAAAAATTGTGGTGTGGTACAAGGTGGCAAAAACTCATATACAAAGCCTGCTATCTTTCT